TGCCTAATTAAGCAAAAGTCGATTTCCTACCGCTCGATGCGCTTCAATGACTTTTTTCCCCAGAAATTCCCAAAGCTAATCAGCACGTTTGGCCCCGGTATTGTATATTGCTGGCTTCATTAGAGTTATGGCCATTTATTGGATAGCTATTATATTTCTGGTTTTCTTTGATAGAATAACGTGGCTATTAATTGGACGGCAGTTATTTTTTTTATTTTGTTGTGAAAATATTTTTATACGCACATATTTGAACTAATAAATTTATTTATTTTGTTCTATATATAACGATTGTGCTGTTTATATTATTGCCTCTGCATTTTATGCCTTAACACTATATTACCATATGTAAAAACTATATATTAGAGTGAGACTATATTAGAAGATAATCTATGAAATGTAAAAAAAATAAACGTTCCCTTGCGGCCTATGTCAAAGGCTATATTGCTGAAGCCTTGGCTTCGCCCGTTATATTCTCTTTCGGCCTAGGTTAAAGACAAGATGTTGCAGCCTTTGCGTCGCTCGTTATATTTCCTTGCGGTTTAAGTCAGATGCAAGAGGTAGCATCTCATAATGCTCCTGTAAACTTCCGAGTGGCCTTTACCCAGAGCCAGATGTTGGGGCAGAGTTTTCCTAAATTTTTCCATTTTTAAATTATACGTTTTAATACCCATTTATGATTTCTGCAACAGATTTATCCGTAACGATACTGGGTAAAATTGGAGGGAGAAAAATAAAATGTCGTTTATTAAGATAGCTTGATGTAACAGATCTGAAGAATGTACGGAGATGATGAATAATGTTACGTCGTACACAGACGATTTTCGTGTTTTTTGTCTAACCAGGATGCCACAAAGATAAACACGTGAGTTCGAAGGGAGGCAGCTAAAGTTATATCTTTATTATACGTGGAACTAAACAGAAAGGGTACAATAATTGGAGACTCGCCTTAAACCTCCCCGTCAGAAGGATCCTTGGCGCAGTGGATGTCACTCTTAGGAAACGTTCCGCTCCACACTATACACGCCCAGCCTGGCTACACTGCCTAGTAGGCCGCTCCGATGTTAGGCTCTCCTGGCACCGCCTTGCAGGATCATCCACACGGTCACGCTCCCCGGAGACAACTTCCCTCGTCTTCTCCTCGTCGCAGATGTGTCCAGACTCTGTCCCCCCCCCACACATGAATGCTGTTTTTGGCGCCTGCCCCCCCCCCCCCTGACAACACATGGCCACACCCCACTCATCCTCCCTCAGCTTTACTCTTAAATCTTGCCTTTGTCATCCATTTTATATACAATAATAAACAATAAATCATCTGAAGTATCGAAGACTAAAGAACTCGATGATAATTTTCCTTCGAACTTGTTAATGACGATTGGCAAATTGCGAATAATAATTGCCTTGTTCTTGGCTCGGTCACACCTGAAAAGTAATTCGTGACCTTTTTCAATGTCTGATTTGTAAGTAATATCTTTCGAAATTTCTTTTTATTAAGTGTCCTATGGAGGATTTTGGAATATATTTTTTTAAATAAAATATTATATGTGTCTTTTAAATATCGATAATCGTGTTTATATGAAATGCTCAACAGAATTATTAGGTATGTGCAATATATCTCTATAAATTCATATTTATGATTATGTGAAAAAATAGAAAAGGTCAAGTGTGTTGATATTTAAAATAAAAGAGGAATATCTTGACCGCTAAATTGAGCGTTTTAGATGGCAGAGCACCTTCTAAAATGCTGACTTGAGCTGTCCGAATATGCCCATTTTGTTTTTAATTTCTGATCATGGTCTTCACACACAAGACCTGAAACATCCAATAAAATAATCCTTAAGATATTGCAGTTATTTATTTAAGTAATTTCATATATTTCCTTATACATATTGTAAAAGGATATAATATGATTTGTCTTCACACAAACATTTTAAATACAGACCAGATAAAATATACGAACATTACAATCGTTTCCCTAAAAATATTTTCTTTGTGGATTATCCTAAATCTCCTGATATTTAATTAAAGCAAGCCATTATACAATATGGTAGATGGAACTGGCGAAACCGCTGGGAGAGTTCAGAACTGATGAGGCAGATCTTCAAATTTTAAATTCCCGTTTTGGCGACACGTACACTCTCGGTATAAATTGGTTTATTCAAATTCAATCTAGAAACATTCTACAATGATACTTTCAATTTTATACTGAATTAATTCTATATTGTCGGTTGTAGATTTAATCATATTAAAGATTGACGACATCAAATTTTTTACGTTGGTAAATAAGTCGCTGTGTTCAGTTTGACCTATTTATTCCTAGTGAGCGATATGGGAAGAAGTGCAACAGACAGACGCTGCTGTCAACAGCGAGCTGTGGCAGCCGAGACGTGAGCTGGGTTGGGACAACACCGCCTGTCACCCTGGCTTGACAAATGACGTAATTGGATCAAATGAAACCTCCCCCCTCAATATTGATTTCTAATAAAGCCTCACGATCCATATATCACACCCATTGTTCCCAAATAATTCCTGTAATTGTAGTCGCTCTTCTCCACAGCTCCATTCCACCGCTAAAGACCAGAACAAATGGGAATCTTTCTGGCAATTTCTACTGAAACCCTCACTTTTGTTAGCCAAGTACCTAGGTTTGGAGCGGGTTACAGATTGGTTTTCCTATACTCCGCGGTAAATACAGTTTTGTCGACGCGGTAATAATTTAGCTCTATCCTAGAAAATAACACCTTGTTGTCCCGGTAGTCGATTTGTTGTTTGACATCGGTATAATAAATCAATGCTTACAGATTGCTGGTTGGAAAATTCTTGAAACTTAGGAATCAACCTTTAACACAATTGTCGATTCTTTATTCCAAACCTTCCTACCTTTCAGAAGCTCTCTAGCATCGCTATCAAGGGCGCGCTCAACATAAATGTGGAGTCATAACAATAGATGTTTCATTTCTAAAAATTATTTAAAAAAAAATGTGTATATTTCTACTTGTGTGAAAGTATCTTTAGTTCAAATATGCAAATTGTGAAATGTCACATATAAAATGCATATGCAATATTAATTTTCATCTTTAATTATTTATACTTAAAATATTCAATTTCAACTTCGAGGAAAATCTCTCGCCCTTTTTATAGGATATTTTATATTTTGAATTTCTTAGCAATTATTCTCTCTATTTCTATTTTTACATTTTTCATAGGTTTATTTTATTTACGTAAATAGTTATTCAAATAGTGTTATTGCTGTTTTTAAACTAAAGTACTTTGTCCCCCATTATCTGTATATAATGATTCCAGTTTATATTGATGGCACAATAAATTGAATGTTAAATCATTAAATAACGAGAAATAACTTCAATATAAATATATATATAACGCTAGTAATAGATATGCCCTGCCCAGCGGAATCCCCCAGAGAAAGGCCACCAGGACCATCGACCCAGGATAATATAAGTTTTATAGTTTCGAATAAATTCCTTTCTTGGTTTCCAATAAATTCTCCAGAAATTTCGAAGAAAAAGAACGAGCGAGAAATCCAAACTTCTATTCCAGTTTTATATTTTTTAGATATTTCCTTTCTCACGAATCTATAGAATAAAGATATAATGCCATTTTAAATTTAGAAATAATACGTTTCACTTTATATATTAATTCGGAATATATATTCGAAAAATATTTTCAATATTTGACAAATTCTTTTTATATAGGTAAGCGGTAAAATTTATATTTATCTCACCGTTTTTCATGGCCATCCCGCGATATTTTTCTTTATATCGAATCCCAAGTTATCTTTTATAATTTCCTTACATAAGACAATATCGTTTTTTTAGTGCGCTTTAGCCGTGACTTTAGCATGGATGTTATATCGAATTTTCTGTGGTCATAAAAACATACAATTATATTTATCGAGCTATATGCTAGCCATTGTTACAAAAACTGCCATTGGCGACGAAATATTTTGCGTCTACTTTCCAAAATTCCCAAGTCCTCTCATGAAGGACCCCTGAACTGCATGATTAGATCTTCTAGCAAGTTCTAGATGATGGAATCGTCCTAATGTCTGCTAAGGCGGGCATCCACAAGTATTTTCTGAGCTTTGAAGTGAATGTAATCCTTGGGAATCCACTCCCTGTAAAGAGGACGACTCTTCATCGATGGGAGATCCTCTCAGGCTTATCCATGTAAATATATACACTCATGGACAAAACTTAAGGAAGTGGAAAATTTTGATGCCGCTGATCATCTGTATTTTTTTTTTTAAGATAACAGAAGTAATTTGGTTCACACTAGGTTATCTCGTGTGCCTTCAAAAAAGGCCACTGTGTATCAAATATGTTCCAGAGTTATTTGTCTGAATCCCGATATACATGCTGAAATGTACAACTTCCTTAAGTTCTGTTCATGAGTGATTATATGTTTTAAATTTCTCTTAATGAATTACAATTACAATAAAACAATTTTGATTGTTACTCTATTATGATGTTGTTTCAAACAAAACCCTCATCTCATATCCGACCAGCGTTCACTGAAGGTAATCCCTGAAGCGCAAAAACAATATATTATGAATAGCTCTAGCCGATATTTTATTATCAAAGCATGTGACTTTATTTAGGAAAAATACATATTTAACTTATATTTTGTATTGTTACACACACTCTTGTTGGACTAATTGATTCAGTCAATAGATGAAAGTTTCCTTGGGGGGATATGAAAAAGATTGACTACTTTCTCGCCGAAATAGATTTAAAAAACTAAATGATATCTTATAAATGACTGCGGCGTATAATTATAAAGCTATACAACCAGTTTAACCGCATAAGTTTATTTTAATTATGAAAAATCATTTTTTAATTTCAAAGATAAATAATTTAATATTTCTAACTTTTGGATGACGTATGAAAAGGTTGAATATATGAAGAGTGATGGTCTATATATGAATGGATGACGTATGGAGGGTGAAAAATATTAAGAGTAATGGCGAACGGAAAAATAAAAGTGTCCAAGGAGCGGGAATCGAACCCACAACCTTCTGCTTACCGGGCAGGTGCCATGTCCACTAGGCTATCCTGGACGATATTTCTCCGTTCGTAAAAACTTTGAAATTAAAAAATGATTTTTCATAAATAAAAGAAACGTATGCGGTTAAACTGGTTGTATAGCTTTAAATGATATCTATTGATCATAACTGCAATCTAGCGGACTCGGGTCAGTGACAAAGCCACAACCCCAGGTTTGAAAAATTCAGATCGCCTATCTGGTGAACATGATTTTGTGGCTAAGGTGTTTGTCACTCAAAAGAGAAGGCGGATGATAATTTCATGAGATCTAACCCCTACAATGGATTCTGATATCTTCAGAATCTTTCAAAGATAGCTGATAGATTGACAATCCAATTAAATGGACAAAAGTTAGGTGAAGGTTCTGAAATTTCCAATTCTGGTGTGGCTATTTTGTCACTGACCTCGTGTCTACAGGATTACAAAAAAAGGACAATAGATGTATAGTTTTTGCGTCTATTTAGATTATTAACTTACTACTCAAATTCCTCAATTTACACATTAAATATTATTATTTTTGATGCTCATGTTTGGGTCGCTGTAGTGGCCTTTAGTGGGACATTTTTGCAGGAGTATAAATATTGAGATTATATGGAAACCAGAGGAATATCATGTTTGGGACGTATTTCAAATCGAATATCTATTTGTATATCTATATTTTTACCATATATTTTTTTTTATCATTTTCCCGAATTTTACTGGTTTTAAAGGTATCACCCATGATGTTTATATACCTTTCGTATTATATAATTTGATTAAAAATTAAGTCCATCAAAGCTTTAGCTATTTAAAGCTATATCATATACCGAGGCCTCTCTAGCGCCTCGTGCTAACAAATAGAATATAAGTTTTGCTACTTAAGTCCCTCGAGTAATTATTGAAATATAATGAGTGTTTCAAATATTCTACAAAGTTATTCTTCTTGAAAGAGGTTCTGTACTTTTAAAATATATTCTATCATTTGAATCTAAATGTTTGATCTTTTTGTCACTACTAGAAGGAGCTATTTCAGCAGTTCTATATATAATATGGATAAATACATCGTAACGGCCAGAGTTCGATACACCAGGGGTTTAGTTATATCTTAATTATAAATCACCTCAATATCTTCTGGTTCTTTATCAAGCCGATACATACAAATACGGAACTATGGCAGCTTGTAACAGTCTCACATGGATCGCATGTATTCTCATTATAAGGAGTTAACGACCTCATCATGACCAAAGACACGCTTTCAATTATTGTTCTGCATCCATTCAGTTATACGATGTTGATACGGATTAATTCTACATCATAATACAAGCTGTGATTCCAGAATAATGTTTCAAAATATTATTTCCTCCTGGAATGTTCTTCCCACAGGAACATCGAGCGCAATCCTCATCGATGCTGCTCGCCAGAGCTGAGGTCCCTCCACCTAGCGGAAAACTGCTGTACTAATATGTTGGCCACCTAGCTAAATGAGACGCGAGGAAGTGAGGTGGAGATGTGGACAGAATATTTTTATATTTCCAATAAAATAAGCCAATCAATTTTAATATTTTAAATTTTATATAGTTTATATTTGAAAGAATATTGTATTGAGCCTATATGTATGTGAAAAATAGTTTTAAATATTTGATATAAAATAAAAATATGAGACTATAAAAATTAAATAAGTACATCTTGTAAACGTATTTTAAAATAATTTGGTATTTAAATTCATTTGGTGAAGCTTTATAATCACCTTTCTTCATGACTACAAAATCTTCAGATACACTGGACCGCAAAATTAAAGGAACAGCATATTTTTCCATATATCTCAAATTTTATCGAACATTTATCAATGAAATTTTATATACAAATTTATTATTTCATTATTGATTAAAATACCCGAAATCAAAGAAATCGAACACGTATTTTATGCAAATTAGCCGGTCAAACAATGATCTTCTTGCAGTCAGTGTATAAATATCTTGGAATTGTTGTTAATATGGGGTGTGATCGCCTTTAACTGATAGACAGGCTCTACATCGGCGACCCATACTAAGAATTAGGGAGTTTATAAGCTCCCTCTGGAATCAACGCCCACTCTTTTTTTAAAGTGTGTTTCTAACTCATGAGTGTTTCTAGGAGGGGGTTGGAGGGATGAGATCCGTCGTCCTAGATTGTTCTATACATGCTCGATGAGAATTAGGTCTGGAGATCGAGCTGGCCAATTCATCCGAGCAATTGCATGGTTTTGGAGAAAAGTGTCGACCACATCAGCCCTATGTGGACGGGCATTATCATCCATTAGAAGAAAGTTTTCTCCCCTTTCAACTGATACAATACGCAGAAGGCTTCACATGAAGGGCCTCTATGCTTGACGACCCATAATTTGTGTGCCGTTGAAACCACCTCAAAAGAGAGCAAGGGAACGTTGGCGCAGACAACATGTCGCTTGGAATCCAGATGAATGGAGCCATGTATTGTTCACTGATGAGTCCAGATTCTCTCTAAACAGCTATTATCGTCGTGTCTTTGTCTGGAAAGAGGTAGGAACCAGAAATAATCCCCGAAATAAAGTTGAAAGGGATCCCTACAGAAGCCAATGTTTTATGGTCTGGGCTGGAATCTTCTTGGGCGGTCAAACAGCACTCCACATTTTTCGGCAAGGAACCCTGACTGGACAGAGGTATCGGGACGAGATCTTGGCAGCATATGTGATGCCTTAATCATTAGAAATGGTAGAAAACCTTGTTATAATGGATGATAATGCCCGTCCACATAGGGCTGGTGTGGTCGACACTTTTCTCCAAAACCATGCAATTGCTCGGATGAATTGGCCAGCTCGATCCCCAGACCTAAATCCCATTGAGCATGTATGGGACGACCTAGGATGGCGGATCTCATCCCTCCAACCCCCTCCTAGAAACACTCATGAGCTAGAAACAGCCTTAACACAAGAGTGGGCGTTGATTCCACAGGAGCTCTGATAAACTCCCTAATTCTTAGTATGCGTCACCGATGTAGAGCCTGTCTATCAGTTAAAGGCAATCACACCCCATATTAACAACAATACCCAAGATATTTATGCACTGACTGCAAGAAGATCATTGCTTGACCGGCTAATTTGCATAAAATACGTGTTAGAATCCTTTGATTTCGGGTATTCTAATCAATAATGGAATAATAAATTTGTGTATAAAATTACATTGATAAATGTTCAATAAAATTTGAGATAAATTAAAAAAAATATGTTGTTCCTTTAATTTTGCGGACCAGTGTATATTTGAGCTTGATACCGTGTTTAGCGTGTATACAGAGTTAATCTTTAAAAAGGGTTGAATACACTTGTGATTGAGTAAAGGTATAATTCACTAAGAAAGGAATGCGGATAGATATCGTCGTTAGCCTAAATGATTAGGACTGGGCTGAATACTCATCTATGAAGAAAACGGAAAATAGAAGGCCAGAAACCGACGATATATATAGACAGACGATTTCTAGGCATTTAGAGATTGGCAAGAAGAATCTCTCTCTCTCTTCGAGAGACTGACTTCTCTCCGTTTTGGCTAATTTCACTCGCCGAGGAAACGTGGAAGAAATGCGTGTCATTGAGGTAAATTTTATCAGCAAAGGTGCTGATTGAGGTATTCAATTTCTTGTGTCCTAGTTGTCGAAATATTCGACAGTGTACTCTCTGTCCCAGATATATCTATAATCTCATCTTGCAAGGCTTTTTTCAAAATTCTAATCACCTAAATTTAAAACAATATACATGCAAAACCAAAAAGATATTTTAGGTAAAGGCATTAATTCAAAATAATCTTCACTCTATTCTGTACTTCTTTCTCATGAGAGAAGGAGAGAAAATACTGAAAACATTTCTCCATCATATAAATGATCAGCTTTAGTCTTTCCTCCTCATGAAGAATCAATTTCAGCCACAGTTGAACATTGTACCCATCAAGTTTTATTATGTTAGGCGAACTAGAAGAATTTAACATTAATGGAACATGTCTCGGGTATGTAAATATAGGGCCACAATAAGAACTAACGGACGTTGGGATTTAATCATAAGATTTTCGTTCCATAAAGGTTCGTATTACTACCATATACTGAATATTTCAGAGTTCCAGCTAAAACCGACCGTTATATCCGCGGCCTTTGAGGAAAATTTCAATATCATATTTTGAGTCTGAAGTGTATCTGGGCGTCCTGATCTTAGTTTATCCTTCAATTTCTTTTTGCCCAGGCAATCTTCCATTTTATAAAAACACCTAAAAAGTTATTTTAGTCCTGAATTATTTCCGATATCAAGGGAATTGGCAAACTAAATTCTCACACAATATTTCTTGATTGTACGGACTATAGCAACAGTTTATGAGGAGTAAAACAATTACAGGTTGATTTATATTCAGGATTAAAGCGCGTGCGATTAAGGGCCATAAAAATATCTCATTATGAATTATTTGAAGGTAGCCAGAGAGATAAGGTGGTTCATTATATTTGTATTTCTATTTTTTTATACAAAGATGTAACAATGGTTATTAATAAAATAAAAGGATTTAAAAGCGCGAATGTTTCTTTTATACATAAAACGAACTTCTACTGTCCTTACTGCGATGAAAAAATATATTGGGAGGGCCCGGCTCACCAGTGGTGAACCCTCCCAGCGGTTTCGCCAATTTAATCCACCAGACCGCTTCTCAGAGCTCTAATACTGTATTGGATCATTCTGCTTTTATATGCTACACTGAAGGATGGAATCTTAGAAATGGTTTTCAAGTAAACTATGGACATAAGCTTATAGGACAGTAGAATTACATTCAAATAAATTCAATGGTTATTAATTCATTTGAGTAATATTTTCAAGTGTTACTATCATTTCTGAAAGGCTAAAAGATTAAAATTGGCTAAAACTTAGCTTAAATTGTACATTTGTACATGGTGCCTTTGCCAGCTTTTTAGAGTTTGATTGCCAATGGGTCTCTAGCGACACCACATATTTCACGATTTGCGAATAAAAGTACACCGCGAAGTTCCAGGA